AGCTCATCATTAGGCATCAAAGAAATGCGAATCAAAAGGCAACAGCCAGGCGCAGTGGCTCATGTCTGTAATCCCAGCACTTTGGCAGGCCAAGGCGGGTGGATCACTTGAGATCAGGAGCTCGAGACCAGCCAGGCCAACATGGCGAAACCCCATCTCTACTAAAAATACAAAAATTAGCCGGGCGTGGTGGCTGCAATCCCAGCTACTGGGGAGGCTGAGGCAGGAGAATTGCTTGAACCTGGGACGCAGAGGTTGCCGTGAGCCAAGATCACGCCATTGTACTCCAGCCCGGGCAACAGAGCAAGACTCCCATCTCAAAAAAATAATAAATAAATAAGTTGAAATTCCAGAGCTACAGAGATATCTACTGTTCCCAAGTTAGCACATCTAGCACACCCTTTGGGGCTTTCCATTCTTGCCGTTTTAACCTAACCCATTCCCAGTATCTAGGTATTCATGGAAGACTCTAGACAAGTATTTTTGCACATTCAAACAAAATAGTTCATTCAGATGAAGGCATTATTTTAAAAATCAATTTTTATCCCAATACAGACCATTCTTAAAATTTTATTAATTACTTTTGGCCAGGCTCCGTGGCCCACACCTGTATTACTAGTACTTTGGGAGGCTGCAGCTGGTGGATCACTTAAGGATAGGAGTTCGAGACCAGCCTGGCCAACATGGTAAAACCCAATTAACAACAACAAAAAAAAACACACACACAAAAATTAGACAGGTGTGGTGGTACACGCCTGTAATGCCTGTAATCCCAGCTACAGGGGAGGGTGAAACAGGAGAACCGCTGGAAGGCGGGAGATGGAGGTTTCTGTGTCACTCGCTGCACTCCAGCCTGGGTGACACAGCAAGACTGTCTAAAAAAAAAAAATCTGATTGAGCACTTTCAACAACGAAGTCCTTGTGTGGCCATGATTCACAACTAGTCAGTTCATCCTGTGTTTTTATTAGTCACACTGTCTCTCTGGATCAGGGTTCCCCTAAGCCAATTATTTGAGTATTACCCTTATAACATATTCATATCGAAATATTACCTGAATTACTATTTAAATATTTTTCTTCAAGACAACTCACTTATTTATCCTAAAATACCTACTACCATCATCTCTTAAACAATACTATTCAAGAAATAGCATGTTTGATGGGCTACCTATAATTAATGAAGTCAAGGGCCATAGACATATCCTCGCCCATGCCTACCAGTGACACAGGGCCTCACTCTGGCAAACAGTACTCTGAGCTGACGAGTGCCTCAAGATCCAGACCTGAAGCCTTACTCATCTTTGCATTCTTGGCATCAAGGCTCAATGGGTTCCTGAACAGTAGGTATTTACTAAGGAAAGGAATTACTCAGTTGAGATTTCAAAGAGAATGTCTTCCAAGGTTTCTAAATATTTGAAAAAAGTCTTCCTCACTAGACTGGGAGCTCCCTGGAGAAGAGCTAGTCATCATTCTTGCAGCTAGAGTGTAGCAGGCATCTGGCAGGAAATAGGTGGGTCAATAATGACAGCGCACCAGCATCTCCGCCTGGGAAAGGTAACCACAGGAAGGAAGAACCGGCCTGGATGTACAGAATGTTTATGCAGCTTCCCGACTCCACTAGAGGCAAGTGTTGGAAATCTAGAAGCAAACCTAGCACCTAACACAGACTCTGAAGGTAATGAATGAAGTAAAATCCCCAGGTGGGATTATTTTATTTATTTATTTTGGGGGGATAGTTTCACTCTGTCACCCAGGCTAGAGTGCAGTGGTGCGATCTCAGCTCACTGCAACCTCTGCCTCCCTGGTTCAAGCGATTCTCCTGCCTCAGCCTCTCGAGTAGCTGGGACTACAGGTCCCAGCTGTAATATTTTTGTACTTTTAATAGAGAAGGGGTTTTACCATGTTGGCCAGGCTGGTCTTGAACTCCTGACCTCAAGTGATCCACCCACCTTGGCCTCCCACAGTTGCTGGGATTACAGGTGTGAGCCACGTGCCTGGACTATTTTTACTTTTAATCAAGTTGTGGGCCTAGCTTAATATTGTTCTGTGTAATTTTCTATAAGCACTAGAATATATCTAAAGAAAATAGGCTATAATAAGAAATGTTTAAAAAAAGATAGAAGTGGCCAGGTGTGGCGGCTCATGCCTGTAATCCTAGCACTTTAGGAGGCTGAGGTGGGTGGACCACTTGAGCTCAGGAGTTTGAGACCAGTCTGGGCAACAGGTCAAAACCCTGTCTCTACCAAAAATATACACACAAAAAATTAGCTGGGTGTGGTGATGTATGCCTGTAGTCCCAGATACTCAGAAGGCTGAGGTGGGAGGATGGCTTAAGCCCAGGAGACAGAGGTTGCAGTGAGCTGAGATTGCACCGCTGCACTCCAGCCTGAGCGACAAAACCACGACTCAGTTTCAAAAAATAAATAAACAACAAAAATAAAAATTACAGATGTAAAAAACTTTCTAACCCATGTCTATTCATACAAAATGCTTTTACCTATTAAGTAACCACATGTCTAAAAACTGTAACATTTAAAGACACTGAAAAACTTACCAGCTACACAGTAAGATAAAGAAATATCTGAAATCCATTTGTGTTCAATAATGTTAACTTCAAATCACTGAAAAAAAGAGCTTCTGGATAAATCCTTTCATCAGAAAGCCAGTAAGTTCAAATACCATACAAGTCAACCACCTTTGCTTTGTCCCTAAGTAAATTGCACTCATTACTTTGGCCAACTGTCATCTAAGTCTATACCACTGATCAAAGGATGGTGTGTTTGTCCAGCAAAGCAAATGCCCTAGTAACAGTGAATCAGTGACCTCTTTGAAGGTGGCAGGCCTTCTCATCCTGCTGGCCTTTTTTTTTTTTTTTGAGACGGAGTCTCGCTCTGTCACCAGGCTGGAGTGCAGTGGCGTGATCTCAGCTCACTGCAATCTCTGTCTCCCAGGTTTAAGCCATTCTCCTGCCTCAGCCTCCCAAGTAGCTGGGACTATAGGTGTGTGCCACCACGCCCAGCTAATTTTTGTGTTTTTAGTAGACAAGGGGTTTCACCATGTTGGCCAGGATGGTCTTGATCCCTTGACCTCGTGATCTGCCTGCCTCAGCCTCCCAAAGTGCCAGGATTACAGGAGTAAGCCACTGTGCCCAGCCTTTTTTTTTTTTAAAGAGACAGGGTCTTGCTCTGTTACCCAGGCTGGAGTCCCATCTCTACAAAAAACAAACAAACAAACAAAAATTAGCCAGGCGTGGTGGTGTACACCTGTAGTCACAGCTACTAGGAAGGTCACCTGACCCCAGGGAGGTCAAGACTTCCGTGAGCTGAGATAGCACTACTGTACTCCTGCCTGGGTGAGAACCTGTCTCAAGAACATATAAATAAAAAGGCTGGGCACATGGCTCACACCTGTAATCCCAGCACTCTGGGAGGCCAAGGTGGGCAGATTACTTGGTCAGGAGTTTGAGACCAGCCTGACCAACAACATGATGAAACCCCATCTCTACTAAAAATACAAAAATTAGCTGGGCATGGTGGCAGGCACCTGTAATCCTAGCTACTAGAAAGGCTGAGGCAGGAGAATCACTTGAACCTGGAGGCAGAGGTTGCAGCGAGCCGAGACCATGCCACTGCACAACAGCCTGGGTGACAGAGCAAGACTCCGTATCAAAAAAAAAAAAAAAGACAGGTTTGTGGTGTACTGGAGGCCTGAGTGAATGTTAATTACAGATGGTGTTCAACCTACTAGAGCCCAACACTGGGAACTCCCACTGGTCCCACCAGCAGCTCATCCTCTAATCTCTTTTCTGCCTTCCTTGCCCCAAGGTCCTGTGGGCAGAACTAGGTGTCTTCCCTTTCTCTGGTCCCCATGCTCCTTGACATCAAGCCAATGGGACCTCTAGGAGGCAACAAGATTGGCTTAAAGTGGGAGTCACTGAGTGTCCTTCCCAAGCACACCACCCAGTCCCTTCTCATCCTGCTGGCTTGGCCTGATGCACCAGCCTCTAACTTGTAGGAGGCATCTGGCCACAGAGCAAGCTACCAGTCTCCCTGCCTTACAAGCTCTCTCAATCTGTAGCCCAGACCTACTAGGGGCTGGGGACAGAGTTGGGGACATTAATAGGAAAATCCTCTCTGCCCTCCACACACCCCAATGTTGACACACAACAGTTCTTTTCTGCATAAACAGTCTGGTCAATGGCAGCAGAGCAGATTCTTCCACCTAAGTCTTAGACTAGGATCCTCTTGGTTGATCTGAGGGCCCTAATAGCCAGTGCTCAGACAGAAGGAAAAGTCATATCCAACCTCCGGTTACATGCTGACCCAGCGTTAGCCTCACATAGTTAGAAAATGGAGTAATCTGATTGACAAGCAGTATTTTAGATCAACAATCTCCAAACTGGGATACACACTCTAAGAGATGTGTGCGATGACCTACTGGCATATAGAGAGAAACAGCATTTTATTTATAACCTCTGCCATTTAATTTCTATTTTGTTTGTTTGCTTTTGAGATGGAGTGTCACTCTGTCACCCATGCTGGAGTGCAGTGGCGTGATCTCGGCTCACTGCAATCTCTGCCTCCCAGGTTCAAGGGATTCTCCTGTCTCAGCCTCATGAGTCCTGGGATTACAGGTGTGCACTGCCATACCTGGATAATTTTTGTATTTTTAGTAAAGACAGGTTTCGCCACGTTGGCCAGGCTGGTCTTGAACTCCTGACCTCAGATGATCCGCCCACCTGGGCCTCCCAAAGTGCTGGGATTACAGGTGTGAGCCACTGCACTTGGCCCATTTACTTTCTATTTTGTGTATAGGTCTTATAATATGTATAAAATTAACAGGGTAATATAATTATACATGAGATATGCACAAACATTTTAATCATAGGGCTGTGTGATTAAAGTTTGAAGGCCATGGCTGGGCATGGTGGCTCCTGCCTGTAATCTCAGCACTTTGGGAGGCCAAGGCAGGCAGACTGCTTGAGCTTAGGAGTTCCGAGACCGGCTTGGGCAACATGGTGAAAACCCATCTCTACAAAAACTGCAGAAATTAGCTTGGTGTGGTGCGACACGCCTGTAGTCCCATCTACTCTAGCCCTAGCTACTTGGGAAGCAGAGGACCGCTTGAGCCTGGCAGGTGAAGGCTACAGTGAGCAATGATCCCACCCCTGCACTCCAGCCTGGGTGACAGGAAGAAAAACAAAACAAACAAAAAAAACCCCAAAAACTTAAAAAGAAAAATTGGGGCAATTTTGTCCCCACCCCAGTAACATCTGGCAATGTCCAAAGACATTCTGGGTTATGAAATGGGGAATGGGAGTTACTAGCACCTAAGGAGTAGAGGCCTGGGATGCTGCAAAGCACCCTACAACGCACAAGACAGCCCATCCCTCACAGACAAACAATCATCCAGCCAAAGGTGAGAAACCCTGCTCCAGAACAATAACATGGGCAATCTATTTGGCAGCCGTATCATGGATTGGTGGCACTGCTGGTGGCCTCCCCGGCATCCATTCCCCTCTTCCTGTCTTAACAAGATCCCTATTTTCTTTCTTCTTCTTTTTTTTGAGATGGAGTTTCGCTCTAGCTGCCCAAGCTGGTACGATCTCGGCTCACTGCAACCTCTACCTCCTGGGTCCAAGAGATTCTCCTGCCTCGGCCTCCTGAGTAGCTGGGATTACAGATATGCGCCACAATACTTGGCTGATTTTTGTTTTTTTTAGTAGAGACTGGGTTGTGCTGGGATTGCAGGCATGAGCCACTGTGCCCAGCCAAGATCCCTAATTTATTTTTTTCTTTTCTTTTTTTTTTGAATCTCACTGTCACCAGGCTGGAGTGCAGTGGCACTCTCTCGGCTCACTGTAACCTCCACCTCTCAGGTTCTAGTGATTCTCCTGCCTCAGCATCCTGAGTAGCTGGAACTACAGGTGTGCATCACCACACCCAGCTAGTTTTTGTATTTTTTTTTTTTTTTTGGTAGAGACAGGGTTTCACCACGTTGGCCAGGATGGTCTCAATCTCTTGACCTCGTGATCCACCTGCCTCAGCCTCCCAAAGTGCTGGGATTACAGGTGTGAGCCACCATGCCCAGCCAAGATCCCTAATTTCTTAAGCCACACAGCGGGGACAGGATTGAACCTATGTCTAGTTTTGGCCCTGACTCACTGAGGCCCGTCCACAGCGAAACATCCACTTTGCCTCGTTATCTGTTTAGGAAGGGCACATGATTTCAGTGCAAGTATTCAGCATAATTTCCCTGGGAGCAATGACTGGTTTAGTTAGAACAAGGTGTACCTGTCCCAGTGGGTCGAGAGTTACACTGAAGACTGGCTCAACAGTGGGAGAAGTACAAGGAGCTGCTGCTGGAAGCCATCCTGTGGCTACACAAGGCCAGCCTTAGAATAAAGCAGGTTACCAGAGGCCAAGCAGACATGGCTGGACCCCTCCCCGTGACACTGACGCGCTGCTCAGCTAAGCTCTCACCTGAAGCCTGTGTTCCCTCTAGAGTTCAGGTTTTTGTACCCATAATCAAGCCAGTTTGAAGTTGAATTTTCTATTATTTACAACTGAATGCTTCCTAAATGAACCTAGTCAAAAAAAAAAATGTACACCTAAACTTTTCAAGAAAGCAGTTGAAGAGTTTTACTAACATAAATAATCTTCCAAAGACCAGTTGGGACTCATGCTTGTCTTACCAGTTCTGAGGAAACACCCTGAACATTAATTTAATTTTGCTCCTAAGGTAACAGTGTTCTAGTCAGTCACTGATGCCAAAGTGCAGAGAAAGTTCTCTGTGGGATACTCCATTCACAGCAAACATCTGAAGGATTTGAATCCAGTGGCAGGAGAGGCTAGGAACAGTGGTTAACTACATGTCTAAAAGGAGTCACAAGATATACTCTTTGAAGTCTATCTGCCTATTTCTAAAAAGAAACTACTAATTAAACTTTTTCTGCACGTTTTCCCTTTTTTCTTTCTTTTTTTTTTTTTTTTTTTTTTTTTGAGACAGAGTTTCCCTCTATCGCCCAGGCTGGAGGGCAGCGGCACAATCTCGGCTCACTGCAACCTCCGCCTCCTGGATTCAAGCAATTCTCTTGACTCAGCCTCCCGAGTAGCTGAGATGATAGGCACGCACCACCATGCCCAGCTAATTTTTAACTATGTATTCCTTTTCTTTCCTTTTTAGACAGAATCTCTCTCTGCCACCCATCCTGGAGTGCAATGGTGTGATCTCAGCTCACTAAAACCTCTGCCTCCCGGGTTCAAGAGATTCTCCTGCCTCAGTCTCCCAAGTAGCTGGGATTATAGGCCTGCGCCACCACACCCAACTAATGTTTTTGTATTTTTAGTAGAGATGAGGTTTTACCATGTTGCCAGGCTGGTCTTGAACTCCTGACCTCGAGTGATCTACCTGCCTTGGCCTCCTCTTAAAATGCTGGGATCACAGGTATGGGCCACCACGCCCAGGCTATGTATTCCTTTTCTTAAAAGATAAAAATATGCTCCCCTCCCCCATTCCTCTACCTTCTCTCATTTTTCCTTTCCAGAATTGAAGTCTTGTGTTTATTACATGAAGATATAGTTAACCTTCTAATCCTCTTACACCTATGCCACCCTAGTTTAATTTTTCCCCTCGTGGATTAGGCGCCTAGCCTCCAGTTGACAGCAGAGTAAAACTACAGCATTACTACTATAATATACATACTGGGATTTTTAAAAAAGTATCTTTATGTGATTAGAAAGTCATATACAATTTTAAATTATGCACACAGATTTGTGCTTTTAATTCTGAGTTTCAACTACCAAGAAAAAATTATAAAAAACAACTCATCTTCAACAAGAGCTTCTGTTCCCTATGCATACATGC